CGGTTGGTATCTCAGTCGTTGTCGTCAAGTTCCACTAACGGCAACCCTAGGTTAGGAAGCGTGCAGCTTCTGTTTGTCCATAGGGACAAGGCCGTTAGGGTTGTCGGGTTTTCCGGGCATGCGAAGAGATGTTTCGAGTCATGTGGGGTCTCTCCGCATGNGTTCGTATACAAATGCATTAGCGAATTCTTTAACCTCTTGCTTCTTTGATGGTCCAGAAACAGGAAGATGCCTACCATGTACGGCGGTTGTTGTTGTTGTAGCGGCTACAACAACCCCGCCCAGGACGGTTGGTATCTCAGTCGTTGTCGTTAAGTTCCACTAACGGCAACCNTAGGGTTGTCGGGTTTTCCGGGCATGCGAAGAGATGTTTCGAGTCATGTGGGGTCTCTCCGCATGCCGGACACTCATTCGGCACATCCTCATTCAACCTACTCAAGTAGGAGTTCAACCTGCTGCAGTAGCCGGAGCGAAGTTGTGCGAGTGTTGTGCGTGTCTCCCGAGGCAGATGAAGCTCCGTCTCGTCTATGTCCGGTTATCCATTTTGCTTCACCAACATCCTCAAAAAGACAAGTTCAAAGACTTTCAGTTTACTGACCGACTTCTGAAAGTTTTGAAACCATTGCCTTTTTTTTAATATTAGATGAGGTCGAAAAAGACGAAACTTTGGTTCCATGCGCCATTTTTACTTTGTTCGCTAAACACAGGCAAATGCTTACAAAAAATTTAAGTTTACGATGACTTCTTTTTATTGTTAACTTCGATTCTCGGGCATATGCAAATTATCCTTTCCCAATAGAAAAGTTTAATTACATGTAGACAAAAATGTGCGAGTTTAATTGAGGGCCATTCTAGCAAAAGTTTATTGCATAAGAATTTACTAAAAGGACTCACTAAAAGAAAAAAAACCTCCGAAAGAAATCGATGTAAAATAGGGAAAACTTCATTGTATAAAAGTTAGATATAGCGATTTCGACTGTAGTCTACGACTTCAATAACGCTGAAATTTGTTTGTTCAAGATATTTCAGATGTTTATAGTTTTATTTAAAAAAAAAGGAACATTAAAAAACAAGCTTTTTTCAAAGCTTCAAGGCAAATCTTACTTAATATACGCTTAAGGTTGCGGTGTTTTACGCAAATATTTTTTGCCCGATGGCACTGGAATGACTTNCGCTGAAATTTGTTTGTTCAAGATATTTCAGATGTTTATAGTTTTATTTAAAAAAAAAGGAACATAAAAAACAAGCTTTTTTCAAAGCTTCAAGGCAAATCTTACTTAATATACGCTTAAGTTTGCGGTGTTTTACGCAAATATTTTTTGCCCGATGGCACTGGAATGACTTCAACGCCTGCAGGAAACAAATGTGAAACATCCTCTTCCTTGACAGTTGGCAAGACCATGCAAACATCTCCCTGCTGTTATAAAGAAAAAAAAAACAAAGGCATATGCATAAATATACATTCATATCCCATACATATTTATTCCTCATAAAACTCACTTTCCAATCCGCTGGTGTGGCAACAGACTTATTTTGGGTTAATTGCAGTGAATCAATAACGCGCAATATTTCACTGAAAGTGGAAATATTAAAAACTTTTTAGACCAAGCTTATATTTTAAAATCAGTTGCTAAAACTCACTCAAAATTGCGACCAGTAGTAGCAGGATATAAAATTGAAAGACGTAATTTCTTTTTATCATCAATAACGAAAACAGCACGACATGTTAGCGGAATGCCATCTTTGTTTAACTCATCCTTATCCAGCATATTTAGCTTGACTGCCAACTCGCGCTTATCATCAGCAATTATAGGATAGCCAAAGGACTTCAATTCTGTAAAACAAAAGCCCATTTTAATGTAATTGCATTGACGTATTTAGAGTGTGCTTGAACTTACTTCCATAACTTTTTATATCCTCAATCCATCCTTTGTGAGAATCGACAGTGTCCACAGATAAAGCAATTGGTTTAACATTGCGCTTTGCAAACTCAGGCAATAGTGTGGCTACGCGCGCTAATTCTGTTGTGCACACTGGTGTATAGTCGGCTGGATGTGAAAATAGAATGGCCCAGCTGAAGGCAAACATGCATAAATACATACTTAATCAAAGCTAAAAGTTGATTTGGTTGCCAACTTACGAATTGCCAATCCATTCATGGAATTCAATGGGCCCCTCAGTGGTGTTAGCTTGAAAGTTTGGGAATTCATCTCCAATATTGAGCGCTTTGCTGGAATCTGCCATTTCGATTTTTATGTGGATGTGTTAGGAGGTTTTAAATCAAAATAGAATTATTCTCGAAAACGAAAATGTTAAATAAATAAGAAANCTTAGCTTGAAAGTTTGGGAATTCATCTCCAATATTGAGCGCTTTGCTGGAATCAGCCATTTCGATGAGAGTCTTCCGTTATTTATGTGGATGTGTTAGGAGGTTTTCAATCAAAATAGAATTATTCTCGAAAACGAAAATGTTAAATAAATAAGAAATCAAACTGCCTTTCGAACGATGGAATAATTAGGCGAAATTCAACTAGTGGCCGACCGGTTCTAATAAAAATGTTGCTAATTCGACGCGGAACATGTGGTATGAAACGTACAACAGTGTTGCCGGAAATTCGTTAGTGAAATTTTCCAACATTTAATAATTGGCAAACTGGGCATTTGTGTACGCATGGTAAACTTTTATTATTAAAAACACGTTTATTTAATTTAATTAATCCTTCAGCTACTCGCGTTCATCTGATTAGTTCCGAAATAAATTACCGCCTAGTAAGTAAATATGGCAACCAAAGGCATCAATGCCAGGATGCGCTCAGGTGGCAACGTTGGTAAAAGCGGTAAATTTGACAAACTTGGAAGTTCCGGNAAACTCCAACATTTAATAATTGGCAAACTGGGCATTTGTGTACGCATGGTAAACTTTTATTATTAAAAACACGTTTATTTAATTTAATTAATCCTTCAGCTACTCGCGTTCATCTGATTAGTTCCGAAATAAATTACCGCCTAGTAAGTAAATATGGCAACCAAAGGCATCAATGCCAGGATGCGCTCAGGTGGCAACGTTGGTAAAAGCGGTAAATTTGACAAACTTGGAAGTTCCGGCGTCGTTTTGGTTTTTCGCAAAAGTTGATAAAATTACTAATGTGTTTCAATGTGTCAAAAATTAATACAATTACAGTGTAATAGGTGCAAAGGGAGCTGAAATATTATAAATAAATGTTCCGCATTTGCCTACCCCAACTGGTACTAACTTCCTGTCCTGAGTTCATAGAACTCGGAAATGCACAACCAATTAGGTGTAATTTAATTTGATAAAAATGATGACGTGATTATGTGCGAAGTTTCAAGAAAATGTAATGTAAAACAAGCGCAAAATGCAGCAAATATGTATTCTACATTTGTGCTTAAGGGCGCTAATATGTATGTACGTAAATGTGAGTATATAAAAGCAATTTAAAGAATGTAGGAAGCGGAAGTGTGTTAACAAACTTCCTTCCATGGATAAGTGATGCTCATAAAAGTGTTTTTGTAACCTTGGATCCGCATTCTTTTGAGGTTATGTTGTTGCGGCGGGCTTTCAAAGAAGATGGATGGATTAAGGATTTATGGGCATGTATTGAAAAGCCAATGCAGGTAAAATCGAAATGAGGTAAGTCAAATATAATACTACTAATACTAAAGTGTCTATGCTCTTGTAGTGTATGTATCAGGAGCTGTGGGCAGAAAAACTATCAAATTGGCGGGTTTAAAGAGTGCCTTTAAAACAAATCAAATTAAATATGTATGTATGAGTTATAGGCGGCACACACCGTGCGTCCGACTCGTGAGTCGGTGTGGATGTGTTTGTGAAAATAAATATGTGTTAGTTGCGCCAACATGACTTCCGGCATGACTCC